GGCGCCCGGGACGGGGGGGGGCGGCCCGCAGTGCGGGGGGACCCGGAGACGGCCACGAGAGGACCCGGGACACTGGTCCCGGAGCGCCGTGTGCCCCTCGGCACCCTTCCCCCCTCCCGCTCCTCAGCGGGCCGGAGTCGGTGACAGGAATCGGCTTCCAACATGGCGGACAGGAAGCGGCCCGGCGAGGAGGAGAGAACATTCCAGCCGCGCCGGCTCTGGGGGGAGCGGGCCCGGGGCGCGGGCCTCGGGAGGAGCCTCGCGGCCAGACCGCGGAGTCAGGCATCCAAGAAGGGCGTTTGAGGATGGAAATGACCCAAGGGACGAGGGGTCCCCAGCCGCCCCCCTAGACGGCCAACCCCAGGGCCACAGGTGGGCTCGGGTGGCGGGTGAGGGAGGACGCTTCCTCAACTCAGCCCCAGACCGGCCCTGGCCGCCCGCAGGAGGGTCTCGCGACACCACCCTTGTCGCGATTCTGGGCCTGAAGTGCAAGCAGCTCGAGGGGGTTTTCTTGAGGGCGGCGAGTTTTGCCCCTTCCCAGAGCCCCCCATTAAGGCAACTTCAGGGCCGCAGAAGGTGAACGGGAGAGGGCAGGAGAGGCTGGCCTTCTGAGGCCGACAGTGGGTCTGCCTCCAGCCTGGGCGGGGGCCGGGAAGGTCACGCCGGCCCAGGCCGCTCCCATGCTGGGGAGGAGGCGAGGGCGCTGCGGTCCCCACCGCGCGGCCCGCGCCCGCGAAGAATGAAAGGGGGCACCCCGGCCTCGCGGGATGCACCCGAGACCCCGGCCGCGCTTTTCACGCCTAGCCCCACCCCCATCCCCGCGTCCCCCACCCTCAGGCCCCTTCCCCCACCGCCCTCCCTCCCAGACCTGTTTTCTTCTTCGGCGTTTCCTGGTGCTGCTGGAGGGTGTGTTTCTGCTCATGTTTCAGAGGCTTAGGCTGGGCCTTGGGGCTGCCCTCGGCTCCATGCTGCAGGTATTGGTGAGGCTGCTGGTGATGGTGGTGGTGGTGGTGGTTGTGGCTGTGGTTGTAGAAATAATAATGGTGATGGTGGTGCGACTGCGACTGCTGCTGCTGCTGCTGCTGCTGCTGCTGGGGGTGATGGTGCGGATGGTGGTGGTTGTGATGGTGCTGAGGCTGTGGCTGGCCGGGCTTCTCCTCCATTGAAAGCGGCTGGGACTCCCTGGCTGAGGCTGCGGGCTGCTGCACCGTCAGGATCTGAGACTGCTGCTCAGCGCCCGCTCAGTATATCTGAGCGCGTCTCGCCAGCGCACTGGTTAGGCGAGCGGATCTGCAAGATTGGCAGCCGTGCTCCAGCAATCAGGAGCCACGCTGCGCGTCAAGCCCCGCCCCTAGCCCAAATCTCTTTCCTTCCCCTTCGCCACTGCCTCCTGGCCAACGCCACTTACCCTATGCAACCTCGCAGGGCCGGGCCTTCAACGTCAGCATTATGGCTCTCTCTGCTGTCGCTTTCTCTCCTTCACCACGCAGTTACCGAACAGCACTTTCTACACTCCTCAGCGGCAAGCAAGCTGATGTCGAGCGTAGCAGATTCCACTGACGATTCCACTGGCTCTAGAAGCCATCTGTTGGTTTTGCACCTCCTAGAATCTGTTGGCTTTTTTTTTTTTTTTTTTTTTAAATCCTTTTCCGGGTAACTGGAGGGGGAAGCTCAATTCCCTTAACCCTGAGACCACTAAAGGGGCAATACAAAAAGAAATAAATACATTTTTAAGAATACAAGAGCTTCACAACTCAGTAGATCGTTTTGTATTCTGGATTCATTTTGCTTTGTATTCATATGTTAATCTCTTCCTTTCCACGAAGGGGATTATAGGGTTCCACAATGGGGTATCTGTGTAATTTTCTAAAAGGGCACAAAGGGTTTAAATCATTGTTTCTTTGTAGTGGAGGCAAGGCAGAGAGGGAGGAATGAAAATCTACATGGAAGATTTTTTTAAACTCTGCAGGTGAGGTCAAATGTGGAACCAAAGTAGGTCTTAGAATGCGAAGAGTTTCAAGAGTGAAAGGGAGAAAGAAGACTTTAAACTTTTTAAGGTTTTGGTTTTTTTTAACTTTTTGTTTTGCATTTATAGAAAACATTGGAATTTAAAGGTATCGTGACAGTTTGTGCTGTTCATTTAATTTATGCTACATTATCATTACAATCTGATTTGTTTTTCGGTCTTTTTTTTTTGGTCTTTTTGAGACAGGGTCTCCCTGTAGCCCCAGCTGGCCTGCAACTTGCTATGTAGACCAGGCTGGCCTCAATCTCACAGAGATCCACCTGCCTCTGCCTCCCCGGTGCTGAGTTTAAAGGTGTGGGCCGCCATGCCTGGCTTACAATCTTTTATTTTTTTTTATTTTGTATTTATATTTTTGTGTATGACTGTATGAGCCTGTATGTTTATAAGTGCGACCATGTCGCCCAAAGTCATCGGAGCCTGAAGAGGGTATCCGATCCCTGGAACTGGAGTTAGGATGGTTGTTAGCTACAATGCGGTTGCTAAAAATCAAGCCCAGGTCCTCTGGAAAAGCAGACAGTGTTCTTAAACCCCTGATTTTTAAAAAATTTTATTTATTTTTATTTTATGTGTATGTGTGTATTGCCTGCATGTATGTAAGTGCACCGGTATTGTGCAATGCCTGCGGAAGTCAGAAGAGGCTGTTGCATCCCCTGGGACTGGAGTTACAGACAGTTGTTAGCTGCCATGTGGGTACTGGGATTCGAACCCAGGTCTTCTGCAAGAACAACCAGTGTTCTTAACCACTGAGCCATCTCTCCAGCTCCTAATCTGATTTTCTTTAAATAAAAAATTGTCAATCTTTTAAAAATATTTTATCATTTTTATTCTATTTATGTGTATATTTTATTTTTTTATTTTATTTATGTGTATGAGTATAATGTCTGCATGGGTATAAGTGCACCCCTGTCATGCAACTTCAGTGGAGGTCAGAAGAGGGCATCAGAGTCCCCTGAAACTAGAGTTACAGATGTCTATTAGCCACCATGTGGTGCTGGGAATCAAACCTGGGTCCTCTGCAAGAACAGCCAGTGCTCTTAACCACTGAGCCATCTCTCCAGCCCCCACAATCTGATTTTTAAGAGAAAATTTTAATTGTGGTAGTGGTTACAAAGGAAGAGGTTTGTGATGAGAAGAGACATGGGGTACCCTCTGATAATATTTCTTGAACTACATTACACATATATTTGCTTTATAATTATTCATTAAATTGGGTATACATTTCACTATGTAATATAGGAAAGCTTTAAATGATAAAATGTGTGGAATGTAGAATTTATCATCTTAGCCTGTTTTTTATTGTTGTTTGGTTAGGGTTTTGTTTTGTTTTGGAGGTTGTTATTGATATGAGGTCTTGCTACATGTCCCTGGCTAGCCTGATACTATTCACTATGTAGCCAAGGCTGTCTTCAAACTTGTGAAGATTCCCCTGCTATTACCTCCCAAGTGCTGTGATTACAGGCATGCAACATCACACCCAGATCCTTTTTAACCATTTTGAAGTATACAGTTCAGGGCTACTCGGACATTCACATTGTTGTGCAACCACCATCATGTACATCTCTAGAACTTTTTCATTTTGTAAAACTGAAACTCTATACCTTATAAATGATAACCCCCTCCCCTGTCTTCCTCTCCCTATCCTATTTTGAGTTGACTGCTCAAGGTACCTGTGGAAATGGAACCAGATAGTCTTTGTGGCAGTTCGTATTTCACTTGCTATAATAATATCTTTTAAAAATACTTTATTTTTATGTGTATGAGTGTATTGCCTGCCTGTAGGTAAGTGCACCCATGTGGTTAAGATCACTGACTGCTCTTGCAGAGGACCCAGTTTCGATTCCCAGCACCCACATGGTGGCTACGAACCATACTTAACTCCAGTTCCAGGGGAATCTGAAGCCCTCTTCTGACCTCCCGGCATTGCACGACACGGGTGCACTCACATACATGCAGGCAATACACTCATACACATAAAATTAATAAATATTTTTAAAAGAAAAAAAATATGACTTGAATGGCTAGGGATGTAGTTTAGTGGTAGAATGCTTACTTAACAAGCACAAAGCCCTGAGTCAATCTCAAGCACAGGAAAAAAAAATGGCTTGAATTCCTAAAGCAGGACAACATTAAAGGTAAAAAGTTTGTGTTCAGTCTTGTATGGTAGTACACAACTGTAATTCCAACACTCAGGAGGTAGAGGATCTGGAGCTCAAGGTCATCCTCAGCTAATTAGCAAGTTCAGTTTGAGAACAGCCTGGGCTACATGATACCCTACGTAAAATGAATAAATGTAAACTTAAAAAATTATAATAAAGCAAAATCAATACACAAATCAAACATTTATTGATAATAAATCATAAGGAAATCTTATAAGCCAAGCATGGTGGCGCATGCCTTTAGTCCCAGCACTCAGGACAGAGACAGGTGGATTTCTGTGAATTCAAGGCCAGCCTGGTCTACATAGCGAGCTCCAGGTCAGCTGGGACTACAGGGAGACCCTATCTTGAAAAAAGACCAAAAAGAAATCCAAAACAATTCTTTGGTATGGATATAATTTTACAAGCCAAGTAGGGTGAGGCACTCCTGTAATCCCAGTACTTGGGAGGTAGAGACTGAAGGATTATGAGTTCAAGGCCAGACTGGGCATCTTGAGACCCTATTTTACCATTTATTAAAAACAAAGAATAGTTTACAAATTAATGAGAAATGTGCTTATTTATGTAAAGAGTTAAATTTGCTGGGCTGTTTCACACTATGGGACATAGACTATCTTCAATGTTTTTATTTATTTATTTTGTTTTTATGATTGTCAGTACTACAAACACTATTTCCCATATACATGTAGTACAAAATGACAAAATTATGTTTGGGGCCATTTCAGAAATTATTAGAAATTCTGTTTTACCAGAGTTGGGAATCTGAGCGTTTACATCAGGTGGCTCACAAAGGCGTGTAATTCCAGCTCCAAGGGAGCTGAAGCCCCCTTCTGGCCTCTGTGGACACACACACACACACACACACACACACACACACACACACACACACACAAATTTATTTACTTATCATTTTTTTATTTTAATATTTTTTATTTTATGTGTATAAGTGTTTTGCCTACATGTAGGTAAGTGCACCCGTGTCGTGCAATGCCCTCGGAGGACAGAAGAGGCTGTTGGATCCCCTGGAACTGGAGTTACGATAGTTAGCTGCCATGTGGGTGCTGGGAATTGAATCCAGCTCTTCAGCAAGAGCAACCAGTATTCTTAATCGCTGAGCCATCTCTCCAGCCCCTATTTATTTATTTACTGAGACAGAGCCTCACTGTGTAGCCCTGGCTGATCTGGAACTACTTTTGTAGACCAGGCTGGTCTCAGACTCATAGAGATCTACCTGCCTCTGCCTCCTAAGTACCAAGTACCAGGATTAAAGTGTGGGCCATCATGCCCAGCTGGCTTAAAAATCTTTTAATGAAATAGAGATTCTGTCATAATCCCAAGCGAAAATTCATTTAATGAGTTTTTAAATGAAATTCAAGTCAGCAACATAAACAGCAATTTTTAAAATAAAACATTGGGACTGAAGAAATGGCTTAGCAGTTAAGAACTACAGAGGACCCAAATTCAGTTCCCAGCATCTATATAGGCTGCTCCAGGGAGACCCACAAGTGTGTGTGTGTGTGTGTGTGTGTGTGTGTGTGTGTGTAGGAGGGAGAGGAAGGGAGGGAGGGAGGGAAGAGAGACAATTTGAAATAAATCTAAAAATCTAATTCAGGCCGGAGAAATGGCTCAGTGGTTAAGAGCACTGGGTTCAGTTCCCAACACTCACATGGTGGCCAACAACCATCTGTAACTCCAGTTCCAGGAGCTCCAACACCTTCCTCTGGCCTCTGTGGATAGTGCATATATGGGTGCACTTACATACATGCAAGCAAAACACATAGACATAATATAAATAAGGGCTGTAGAGATTATTCAGCAGTTAAGAGCACTGGCTTCTCTTGCAGAGGACCCAGGTTTGATTCCCAGCACCCACATGAGGGCTAACAACTGTCCATAACCCCAGTTCCAGGGGAGTATGATGCCCTCTTCTGACCTCTGTGGGCATTGCATGATGAGGATGCACTTACATACATGCAGGTAATAAACTCATACACATAAAATAAAGATAGTAAATAAAATGTTTAAAAATAAAAATAAGGGCTGGAGAGATGACTCAGTGGTTAAGAACACTGGTTGTTCTTGCAGAAGACCTGGGTTTGAATCCCAGCACCCACATGGCAGCTAACAACTGTCTGTAACTCCAGCCTCAGGGGATCCGACAGCCTCTTCTGACCTCCGAGGGCAT